AAGAAAGAAAAACAAGAAAAAGAGAAAAAGAGAAAGGAAAAGAAGGAAAAAAAGAAGAGAAAGAAAAAAAGAGAAAAATAAGAGAAAGAGAAAAGAGGAGAAAGAGGAAAAGAAGAAGTAAAAAGAAAAGAAATGAAAAGGGAAAAATAAAAAAAGGAAAGAGAAAAAAAAAGGAAAGAAAAGGAAAAGAAGAAAAGGTTAAGAAAAAAATAAAAAAGAAAGAAAAGAGAAAAGAAAAGTCAGAAAAAGAGGAAAAAGAAAAATAAGGAAAGAAAAAAAAAAGAAAGAGGAAAAAGAGGAAAAAAAAGAAAAAGAAGGAAAAGAAAAAAGAAAGAGAAAAAAGAAGAGAAAGAGAGAAAAGAAAGAGGAAAAAGAGAAAAAAAAAAGAAAGAAAGAGAAAAAGAAGGAAAATGAAGGAAAAGAAAAAGAAAGAAAGAGGAAAAGAAGAAAAAAGAGGAAAAAAAAAAAAAAAAAAGGAAATAAGAAGAAAAAAAAGAAACAAGGAAAGAAAAAGAAAAAAAAAGAAAGAAAAAGGAAAGAAAAAAGAATAAAGAGAAAAAGAAAAGAAAAAAAAGAAGAAGTAAAATGAAAGAAAGAAAAAAAAAGAGAAAAATAAGAGAAAGAGGAAAAAAGAAAAAGAAACATGAAAGAAGAAGTAAAAAAGGAAAAAAAAAAGAAAGAGAATAAAGAAAAAAGAAAGAGAAAGAGAAAAGAAAAAGAAAAAGGAAAAGAAAGAAAAAAAATGAAGGAAAGAAACAAGAGGAATAAAGAAAAAAAAAGAAAGAAAAAGAAAAAAAAAAAAAAGAAACAAAGAAAGAAGAAGAAAAAATGAAGGAAAGAAACAAGGAAAAAAAGAAAAAATAAGAGAAAGAGGAAAAAGAAATAAGGAAAGAAAAGAAGTAAAATGAATGAAAGAAAGAAGTAGAGAAAAATAAGAGGAAAAAAGAGAAAAATAAACAAAGAAAGAAGAAAATGAAGGAAAGAGGAAAAAAAAGGAAAAAGGAAAGAAAAAGTAAAAGAAAGAGAAAAAAACAAAAAAGAAGAAAAAGAAAAATAAAAGAAAGAGGAAAAAAAAAAAGAAAAAACAAGGAAAGAAAAGGAAAAAAGAAAGAAAGAAACAAGAAAAAAAACAAATATAAAAAAGGAGAGAAAAAGGAAAGAAAAAAGAAAAAGGAAAAAAGAAGTAAAATGAAGGAAAGGTCAGAAAAAAAAAAGGAAAATAAGAGAAAGAGGAAAGAGAAAAAAGAAAAAGAAAAAGAAAAGAAAAAGAAAAAAAAAGGAAAAAAAGAAAGAAAAAATAAGAGAAAGAGGAAAAAGAGGAAAAAAAAAAAGAAAAGGAAAGAAAAAAAGGTCAAAAAGGAAAAAAATAGAGAAAAATAAAGAAAAGAAAGAGAAAGAAGGAAAAAGAGAAATAAAATGAAAGAAAAAACAAGAAGAAAGAGAAAAAAAGAAAGAGAGAAAGAGAAAAGAAAGGTTAGAAAAAAGAAGAAAAAAGAAGGAAAAGGAAAAGAAAGAAAAAAAAAAAAGAAAAAGAGGAAAGAAAAAGAAAGAAAGAGTAAAGAAGAAAAAGAGGAAAAGAGAGAAATAAGGAAAGAAAAAAAGGAAAGAAAAGAGGAAAAGGAAAGAAGAAGGAAAGAAAGAAGGAAAAAGAAGAAAGGAAAAAAAGAGAAAGAAAAGAGAAAAGAAAAGAGGAAAAGAAAAGAGAAGGAAAGAAAAGAAAAGTCAGAAAAAGAAAAAAAAAGAGAAAGGAAAAGAAAAAAACAAGGAAAGAAGAAGAAAAAAAAGGAAAGAAAAAGAGAAAATAAGAGAAAGAAAAAGAGAAAAAAGAAGAAAAGAAAAAGAGAAATGAAGGAAAGAAACAGGTTAAAAAAAGAGGAAAAAATAAGAGAAAGAGGAAAAAGAAAAAAAGAGAAACAAGAAAAAGAAGAAGTAAAAAATGAAAGAGAGAAAAAGAAAAAAAAAGGAAAAATAAGAAAAGTCAGAAAAGAGAAAAAAGGAATAAGGAAAGAAGAAGTTAGAAAATGAAGAAAAGAAACAAGATAAGGAAAGAAAAAAATAAGAGAAAGAGGAAAAAGAAAAGAAAAGAAGGAAAGAAGAAGAAAAATGAAGGAAAAAACAAGAAAGAAAGAGAAAAAAATAAGGAGAAAAGAAAAAAAGAGAAATAAGGAAAAGAGAAAAAGAAAGAAGGAAAAGAAGAAAGAAAGGAAAAAGAAAAAAGAGGAACAAGTAAGAAAGAGGAAAAAGGAATAAGAAGAAAGAGGAAAAGAAAAAAAGAGAAAAAAGGAAAGAAAGGTTAGAAAAAAAAAAGAGAATAAGGAAAGAAAGGTTAGAGAAAGAGGAAAAGAGAAAGAAAAAAGAAAAAAAGAAAAGAGAAAAAGAGAAAAGGAAAGAAGAAAGAAAAAGAAAAAAGGAAAAAAAGAGGAAAAGGAAAAAAAGAAAGAGAAAGAAAAAAGAAGAAAATAAACAAAGAAAGGTCAGAGAAAAAGGAAAAAAGAAAAATAAGGAAAGAAAAATTAGAGAAAGAGGAAAAGATAGAAAAAGAAAGAAAGGTCAAGAAAAGAGGAAAAAAAAGGAATAAGGAAAAAAGGTTAGAGAAAGAGGAAAAAATAGAGATATGGAAAGAAAAGGTCAAGAAAGAGGAAAAAAGAATGAATAAGGAAAAGAAAGGAAAGAAAAGAGGAAGAAAAGAAAAATAAGAAAAAGAGAAAAGAAAAGAAACAAGGAAAGAAGAAGTCAGAGAAAGAAGAAAAGAAATGAATAAAGAAAGAAAAATAAGAGAAAGAGGAAAAGAGAAAAGAAACAAGGAAAAGAAAGGTCAGAGAAAAAGGAAAAAAGAAACAAGAATAAGGAAAGAAAAAAAAAGAAGAAAGAGGAAAAGAGGAAAAGGAAAGAAAAGGAAAGAAAAGAAAAAAAAAAGAGGAATAAGAAAGAAAAAAAAAGAGAAAGAGGAAAAAGAAAGGAATAAGGAAAGAAAAGAAGAAGTAAAAGAGGAAAAGAAACAAGATAAAAAAAAGAAAAATAAGAAAAAGAGAAAAAGAAAAGGAAAAAGGAAAGAAAGGTTAGAGAAAGAGGAAAAATAGAGATAAAGAAAAAAGAAAGAGAAAGAGAAAAAAAAGGAAAGAAAAGAAAAATTAGAGAAAGAAAAAGATAAGATAAAAAGAAAGGTCAGAGAAAAAAAAGAGGAATAAGAAAGAAAGGTTAGAGAAAGAGGAAAAGAGAGAATGGGAAAGAAAGGTCAGAGAAAGAGGAAAAGGAAAAGAAAGAAGGAAAGAAAGGTAAAAGAAAGAGGAAAAAAGAAAGAAAAGGGGAGATAGAAAGAAAAGAGAAAGAGGAAAAGAGGAATAAGGAAAAAGAAAAGGTTAGAAGAAAGAGGAAAAGAGAGGAATAAGGAAAAAAAAGGTTAGAGAAAGAGGAAAAAATAGAGATAAGGAAAAAAGAAAAAGTCAGAAAAGAGGAAAAAAAAAGAAAAGAAGGAAAAGAAAAGGTTAAAAGGAGAAAAAGGAAAAGATAGAGATATGGAAAGAAAGGTCAGAGAAAAAGAGAAAAAGAGGAATAAGGAAAAGAAAGGTCAGAGAAAGAGGAAAAGAAAGGAATAAGGAAGAAAAATTAAAGAAAGAGGAAAAGAGAAAGAAACAAGGAAAAAGAAACAAGACAAAGAAAAGAAAAATGAGAAAAGAAAGAAAGGTTAGAGAAAGAGAAAAAAAAGAGGAATAAGGAAAAAAGGTTAGAGAAAGAGGAAAAGAGAGGAATAAAAAAGAAAAGGAAAGGAAAAAGGGAAAAAAGAGAAAAAAGAAAAGGAAAGAGAAAGAGAAAGAAAAAAAAATAAGGAAAGAAGAAGTTAAAAAAGAAGAAAAGAGGAAATAAGGAAAGAAAGGTTAAAAAGAGGAAAAGAGAAATAAGGAAAGAAAAGGTTAGAAAAGAGGAAAAGAAATAAGGAAAGAAAGGTCAGAGAAAGAGGAAAAGAAAGAATAAGAAAGAAAAGGTTAGAGAAAGAGGAAAAGATAGAGATATGGGAAAGAAAGGTCAGAGAAAGAGGAAAAAGGAATAAGGAAAGAAAGGTTAGAGAAAGAGGAAAAGAAAGAGATAAGGAAAGAAAAAAGAAGAGAAAGAGGAAAAAGAGGAATAAGGAAAGAAAAGGTTAGAGAAAAGAGGAAAAGATAGAGATAAGGAAAGAAAAAGAAGAGAAAAGAGGAAAAGAGAGGAATAAGGAAAGAAAAGGTCAGAGAAAGAGGAAAAAGAGGAATAAGGAAAAGAAAGCTTAGAGAAAGAGGAAAAAAAGAGGAATAAGGAAAGAAAGGTTAGAAAAAAAAAAAGAGGAATAAGGAAAAGAAAGGTTAGAGAAAGAGGAAAAGATAGAGAGTGGAAAAAAGGGAAAGAGAAAGAGGAAAAAAGAGGAATAAGGAAAGAAAGGTCAGAGAAAGAGGAAAAGAGAGGAATAAGGAAAGAAAGGTTAGAGAAAGAGGAAAAGAGAGGAATAAGGAAAGAAAGGTTAGAGAAAGAGGAAAACAGAGGAATAAGGAAAGAAAGGTTACAGAAAGAGGAAAAGAGAGGAATAAGGAAAGAAAGGTTAGAGAAAGAGGAAAAGAGAAAAAGAAACAAGGAAAAAAAGGAGAGAAAAGGGAAAGATAGAGATAAGGAAAGAAAAATCAGAGAAAGAGGAAAAAAAAAGGAATAAGGAAAGAAAGGTTAGAGAAAGGGAAAAGATAGAGATATGGAAAAGAAAAAATCAGAGAAAGAGGAAAAAAGAGGAATAAGGAAAGAAAGGTTAGAGAAAGAGGAAAAGATAGAGATATGGAAAGAAAGGTCAGAGAAAGAGGAAAAGTGAGGAATAAGGAAAGAAAGGTCAGAGAAAGAGGAAAAAAGAGGAATAAGGGTAAGAAAGGTTAGAGAAAGAGGAAAAGAGAGGAATAAGGAAAGAAAGGTTAGAGAAAGAGGAAAAGAGAGGAATAAGGAAAGAAAGGTTAGAGAAAGAGGAAAAGATAGAGATATGGAAAGAAAGGTCAGAGAAAGAGGAAAAAGAGGAATAAGGAAAGAAAGGTTAGAGAAAGAGGAAAAGATAGAGATATGGAAAGAAAGGTCAGAGAAAGAGGAAAAGATAGAGATATGGAAAGAAAGGTCAGAGAAAGAGGAAAAGTGAGGAATAAGGAAAGAAAGGTCAGAGAAAGAGGAAAAGAGAGGAATAAGGAAAGAAAGGTTAGAGAAAGAGGAAAAGAGAGGAATAAGGAAAGAAAGGTTAGAGAAAGAGGAAAAGATAGAGATATGGAAAGAAAGGTCAGAGAAAGAGGAAAAAAGAGGAATAAGGAAAGAAAGGTTAGAGAAAGAGGAAAAGATAGAGATATGGAAAGAAAGGTCAGAGAAAGAGGAAAAAAGAGGAATAAGGAAAGAAAGGTTAGAGAAAGAGGAAAAGATAGAGATATGGAAAGAAAGGTCAGAGAAAGAGGAAAAAAGAGGAATAAGGAAAGAAAGGTCAGAGAAAGAGGAAAAGAGAGGAATAAGGAAAGAAAGGTTAGAGAAAGAGGAAAAGATAGAGATATGGAAAGAAAGGTCAGAGAAAGAGATAAAAAGAGGGAGATAGGACAGTTTAATGAATCGTTATAATCAGAAAAATTCAAAATGGATTCAGATAGTGATACAGGAAAGAGAAGGAGTGCAAGAAAAGAATAAAAGACATAATGAATACAAGGAAAGAGCATGAGAAAGAGAGAAAAGTAAAAAGAAAAATTGGTGAAAAAGAGAAAATAACCTGGTGAAAATATGACAGAAAGGAAATTGCAGAAATGAAGAAAGAAACAGCTGAAATACATGAAGAGAGGTCAAGGAAAATACAATAAATGAAAAAAAAAAAAATGAAAAAAAAAAAAAGAATGAAATGAGAAGGTGGAACAAAATGGAAGCCTAAGTAGCATAGTTTGCAAATTTGCCTCAACAAAGATAATAGCTTATAATTACCTTGAGTTAAAAGTGTTTTATTTGTCACACAAAAGTCAGACATATTGCATAAGTGATTTTACAGGCACTTAGAACTGCTTAGATAAAAACGTTCTTGTAACCTAAAAAGATTAAGAAACAAGAAGAATAAGCATTAAAATTCTTAAACATTCTTGTTGTTTTAACATTTTCCTATCAGAGGACAAAATTCATCAAAAAAAAACAAAAAAACCCCAAAACGTGCAAAATAATCTATTATTACACATCTTTCATGTAGGATACAAGTCTTTTATCCAAATGTATCAGCATTATCTTTTATTAGTCTTTGAGAGTCTTCCCTGCAGATGATCATGTGACCTGCTGGAGGGATGGAGAAGAAGTGAGTGATTCAAGGAATTGAAAGAAAGTGTTGAAATGTTTGGGAAATCTCTTTTCAATCAAATCTGTTGAAGTAGCATGAAAAGGGAGGCGAGGAAATGGAAGGATTTGAAAAAAAAGAAATTATTTAAAATCAGGTTACATGACTTCACCATTAGCACCCGATCACCAAAATTAAGCAACATCGAGCTTGGTCAATACCTAGATGGGTGACTGCTTAGGAATATCAGATGCTGGAAGCTTTGATGTGCAGATGGAGGGACACAATTTTCTAAAAGAGAAATATCTAAAAAAAATCTTAAATAATATACTCCTGAATATTTAGACAGTAACTTCTCATCCAAGGGAATATATTATACACAAGAAAAAGGGTGCCTGGCTGGAGTTGAGCTTCCAATATATGTGTGTGTGTGTGTGTATATATATATATATATATATATATATATATATATATATATATATATATATATGCATTTTACAGAAAAAAAACAAAAATTAGCTCAACATAGTATAGTCTATTTCAAGCCGTTCTGACTGCGGCTATCATCAGCTCCTAAGAGAGTTTCAATAAAAAAATAAAAAATCATCTGGTGGATATAATATTAAATCCACCTAATGATTGTTATTGCAAGAAACTGTTGAGTAGCAGATTTTCATACATACATATATATATATATATATATATATATATATATATATATATATATATATATATATATGTATATATATATATATTTTGAACAAAAAAAAATATTAAAAATTAAAATCTTCAGACACACTGGGTTGTAGATTAATATTCTTTCGTTTTTTTATTATTATTTCATTTAGATTCCTTGACTAGTTTCGGCCGAAATGGCCATCCTCGGGAGGAGAAATATTTCTGCTTGCTGGTAGCAGTAAACTACAGAAATAAATGTCTTGCTGGAGAAATATATATATATGTTACACCAGAAGGTTTTTCTCACCTTAGTCCATCCTTCAAATCTACAAATCAGCCATTCATCCTTGCATAGAATACTGTTGCCATATATGATCTGGTGCTTCCACTGTTCATCTCGAGTTCCTCAACGAAATCCAGAGACAATCTATTCTTATCTACAGCCATTATCTCACAGACGTGTTGTGGCATCTCTCTGTCTTTTCTACAAATATGTTCAGTGCAACTCTTTTGACAAGCGACTTTCATTGGTTCCCAAACTGCATGAATTTAAGCATGTTACAGGGTTGGCATGTTGGTTTTACCATTTCACTGTCGAAATGACTAAATGTACCTGTCTCTTCTACTGCAACAGCTTCTTATCTTGCACCTCCTGTCAGTGGAACTCCCTTCCTATTACTTGCTTATAATCTGCAAATATTTAAGTGTAATGACAATTGACATCTTCTAATGCTTTGACCTTGATTCCTGTCCTTCTCTTTATCCTTTTCCAAAATGCTCCTCTTTACTCTTACTCTCTGTAACCCCTTGCGTGCTAGTGGCACTCCCACCTTACTTGGAGCAATTTGCTTAAAAGAAAATATATATATATATATATATATATATATATATATATATATATATTCAGGTAATAAATCTGTTGGTATATAATCCAAGTGGATCCTAGTAATATAAAACTGATCCACAAAAAAGAAGGTCAATGTTGAATAAGACTAATGTATTTCTCATTGGTTATACCTCCCACCACCACCATATAAGGTAATTTTGGATTTTCTTGTGTAATATATATATATATATATATATATATATATATATATATATATATATAAAAAAGAAATATGTTGTAGTGGTTCAACGAGAGAAAAGTATGTATATTAAAAAGAAGAGAAGAGAGGTGCCGCAAACGTTTTTGGTTGTAATGTGGATTTATTTAGAAAAAATATTATGCTTGGTTTTACATATATATATATATATATATATACACTACCACCACCACTAGCAGCATGGAGATGGTCTGATGCGGAAGCGGGGATTGATGCAATTCACAAAATAGAAGGCATCAATAGGTAAAAATTTATGAAAATTTATCGAAGAAATATCTCAAAACTTTAGTCAGAAAGTTAAGAGATGTTTGCCAATGGGCCTCCCGATTGAACGATGACTTCAAGCAAACATACAAAGTAATAGTAAAATAGCTTGAGGACAAAAGTAAAAGTCTTAGAACAGTCATCATAAAGACCTAATCACAATAAAATGTAGGTGGACATAAATTAAAAACTATTTGTGAATAAAGAGACTTACAGATAGGCCCAAATTCTAGCGCCTTTTTGTGAGAAGCTTCTTAAAAACTATCTAAAACTATGGACAATCTTTGATCCAGTTTAAACAATTTAAAAGGCCTCTGACTAAATACTAAGTCGATGTAGATTCCTCTCCCATTAGGAATGTGATGAAAAAATAAAAGCTAATATAAGTCATTGCTGCTACTAATTGTTCTGTGTGTGCACACTATGTAAGTATAATGTTTCTGTATATTCACATAAACAGAAACACATATTTACATAAGTGTATACATTCAAATCACTATGTAAAAATATATATAAACATAGGTACAATAATTATCTCATGATGGAAAAACCATTTGCACAAGTATTTTTTCAACATAATCTTCTTCCTTGTCAAGGCATTTAATTTGGTAGTGAATATTGACAGCATTGATCAAACATTACAGAGTGAACAGTTAACACTTCGGCTGCTAACTACAGAGATCTTTGTTTTTCTTATCTTGCTCCAGCTGGCTAAGTACGGAAACCTACGTTTTTTTGCATACCGCTGTTATGAGTGTCCCGTTGCGCTATCTATCGTAAAATCACAAAGGACAATGCTTCAAAAGATATCATGTGTATACCCATTACTAATCTGGTAAGTCATTCCCAGGTATATCCATAAAAATGGAAGGCTGTAAAACACACTGGTGCCAGTTTTTTGTGTAATAAAATATGGAGGTTGAAATTTGGCATTTTCTTTAAAAATGGCTGGCCGGATGTGAGCAGCACTGGGCAAATGAGTAGCAGTGAAAGTGTTAAGACCAACATTCAGCCCAGAATGGCATGTCTGGCTATTGGCATAGATTTATCCAGTCAATTTCATTACATTTACTTATGGAAAAAGTATGAGTCCATCTCTGGAGATGGATTCATACCTTTTCCATTGGCAAAAAATATATACAAAAATATTATGTAAATATGTGTTTCTGTTTATGTGAATATACAGAAACATTATACTTACATAGATAAATCTCACCCCAGCTGTAAGTAAAATAGCAGGACAGACTGGATCCTATAGCCTTGGTTGGCAACTGGTCTAGGAGAAGGGAAACTCTGAATTCAAACCATTTTGGAGAGGAGAAGGTTCTTGCTCAGGAAACAACACTGCTACTGCAGCTGAAGTATGTGCTGTGCCCCTTTGACGCTAATGTGTTACAGGACTTGTGACTGATCATACATTTTTTTATTTTTTAATAAGAAAACAATCAATGTATACCATGACTTAATGTAAAATATAAATTATTGATTGACTGATTTATTTAACAACATATCAACTCCTTATAGGTCATTTAATACTGAAATTTAATTTTCTTAGGTGCTTGATATATGTTATTCTGCTTTCACAATGGAATATATGGTAGATGATACTCAGCTTTTGTGCATATACATGTTTGTGTGGACATGATTACTAGAGACAGTGATATGTGTGTTTGTGGAAGTTATATTTCAAATATTTCTTTAAGAAATTGTAGGATATTATATGAATTAATGTCCTGAAACAGTCCTTTCATGTTGATTGCTTGATTTTGTTTAACAGCATGTCAACTTCTGTGAGCTTTTTAATGCCAAAATCTAAATATTTTGAAAACAATTTTATGGCTTCAAGTACAGATAGAATGTGCTGCTGTTCATCTTGCTATAAAATGTATTGTTGGTAATCCTAATATAAAAATGTATTTTTATACTTTCATAGATTTTTGCTTTTATCTTGGGGAGGTGGGGTTCACAATATGCCCATAGTTAAGACTCTAACAGGTGTTACTACCCCTGGACTAGGCTGGAACTGGGAACAATAGCAATTAAAAGGTGGCTCCACAGTCTTCAAAACCTCCAATCTCCCGATCAGAGGCTTTGCTGTCAGATATAGCTTTCATTATGCCCACGACTAGCAAAAGCAGTTAAATGCCAAGATAAGTAGAAACACAAGCAAAGAATCCTACTTATTTGATTTAATTAATGTACTTAGACTGTTTTTTTTTAAATTTTTCATTCATTCAAGCCAGCGTTAGGAACCAGCCAAGAGAATGTATTCCGAAAGGCATTATCATATACAAGCTTAATTATTTTATTAACTATATAACTATTTCTGGCTATAGACAAATTAGATATCAACTTATAATTATCATATCACAGCTGATGGGCAAAAAATACTTACATCAATAATGTCTCTGATGATTCAATAAAAATACTTGGTTTTATTTGTTGTTGAAACTGATTTTTTCCCCCTCTTATT